ACGGCTTCAGACCTGGCAAATCCACCATTGACCAGATATTCACTCTGCGCTAAATCCTGGAAAAAAACACGAAAAACACATCAACACATTCTACGTATTCGTCGATTATAAAGCCGCATTCGACAGCCCTAACCGTTCAGAGGTGTATAAAGCCATGTCTGCGTTTGGCATTCCTGTAAAATTAATTCTGCTATGCAGGATAATCAGTTAAAGTCGGCAAGGACCTATCGGAGCCATTCAATGCCGAACGAGGATTAAGACAAGGTGACAGTTTTTCGTGTGACCTTTTTAAGATCCTGCTGGAACAGGTCATACGAAACGCAAAGGTGAACAGAAATGACACTCTGTACACCAAGCAACACATGTCACTCGCCTACGCCGATGACAGTAGACTCGGACCAACGGTGGAACTTGAGACCTAAAGCTTCGAGGTAGTTAAAGATTTTATATATTTTGGTACCGCCATAAACAAAACAAATAACATAAGTTTTGAAATTCGGGAAAGGAAGGAATGAACCATGAGTTGTACCAGCTATTCTCGGACATGGACATTGTTGGACTATTGAGCTGCAACGACTACGTTGTCTAGGTCATGTTGTGAGAATGGATGATGATGCCCCAGCCCAAAAGGCATATAAAAGCGAGCCAGCGTGATTGTTCACGCAGAAGGGGGAGGCCACGAATAAGATGGAAAGATCAAGTGGAAGACAACATTGCCGAATATGATCTTTCAAAGTGGAAAAACTGCGCAAAAGACAGACGCGCCTGGAAATTTTATGGAACGGAAGTTTTGTCACAAGCCAGCTATGTAAGTATAAGGAAGTGTAGATTTTTAAATAATATTTTTCAGAGACCATATGGAGGCGTGGATTATTAAAGAATTATTTTCAGGGACATTAAGGAGGCGTGGATTTTCAAAGATTTTTTTCATGGACAATAAGGAGGCGTCGAATTTTTTTTAAGAAGAATTAAAAAAATGTTTTTCAGTGACTATAAGGAGGCGTGAATTTTTAAATAATATTTTCTAATACCAATTTTACTAAATTGAATACCATTTAGTACTTGGAGGGTCGCCAAATCACTCATTATTTAAAAACTACATAATAATAGGGATTCCCCTACCTACATTCATCGTTCAAAGCCCAATGACTACTAATTGTACAAATTTTAGTGTACTTATACTTCGAATTTCCAAAGCCGTATATTTATCTTAGTCCTCAACCGCAACAACAACATTAGCCATGCTTCATTCCAAGATTACATCCCTATGCATCTACTCACATAATGTTATTATACGTTAAATCTAATTCCATATATAAAATGTAATTCCAATTAGTACTTTAGTACTTATTTTTAAAACATTCTAAAATGGCATTTTATCTATTCACCGTATTACAAATCTAGCCAAATTAGTACACCTTCAATATGTATTTGCGAACCGAATTCTTATTTCAATACTACATGTAAAAAGTAATCAATCTTCAAATCAAATTTCAAGATCCTGTCTTTATTCGGTCATTACCAATATCAATTATAGCTTGTACAGTACATTTTGGTAAATTTTTGTACACATTTAGTACGATTTTCCACAAAACCCTTAATTAGCACCACTCTACGCTCCATTAGAAATAAGAACTCCAAATTTCATCATTCTAGCCCTACCCGTATTCCCAATATTGTTGCTACTATTTTTAGTACTCTTTTCGGGCCCCTAATAGTACGAAGTTACACAAATCAATTCATAATACAAACTTGTGTATCAATAATAACCCAAATATAAGTTTACAGGATTATAGATAAACCATTTTCTTCTGGAAGTTGGTTAAAAGTAGTCTTGTTAGTACTTTTTAGTACTTTTCGTACACATATAGTACGAATTTCCACAATACAGCCTTGCACTGCAATACTGACCTCAATATCAATGAGACATTTTTTAGATTATTTTAGTATTATTATTCGTACATTTATAATACGAATTTCCCCAAACCCAGCCTTAACACAGCACTAAGCACCAAACAGACTCACTTACAAAATTACAGGAGAATAGCTTTCGTCGCTCCCTTGGAAAATTAATAATTGGTATAAGTAATTTTAGTACATTTTAGTGCGAATATCCACATACCCAGCCGTAGAACATACCTACGCGTTCATATTGACCCACATACAAAATATCAAGATACTAGCTTTAGCTGCTTCCTCTGAGCATTCACCATTATGATAAATGCATTTTAGTACTTTTCGTACGCTTACAGCACAAATTTCCACAAACCCAGCATTACAACAAACCTACGCGGCAATACCCACACAAAATTTCAAGCTTCAGCCGTTATTCTGGGCATTGATAATTGACCAGGCCGGGATTTTTTATAATTTATTTTTTTATTAATTTAATATTTTTAACATTTAAACACACATTGGCTTCAAAAATTATTATTCTTACATCTTCTGTGTAGCATTCACATTAGTTTACAGTGTAAACAGGCCTTATTATCGATAATCGATTTGTTTAATACAATCATGGCAACCCTACATAATCGTTTACAATCGTGCATTGCTGTTGGATAGAGTTGGGCAATCTAGTTCACGTAGCGGATCGATCATTCTCGTTTCTTTTTTAAAAAGGAACTAGTTCCTTAATGTAGTTCCTTTGAACTATGTAATTACTTCATAAAATTAGAGTCGAACCACGAATGAGAGAGGGAACAACGCTCGTCTGTACATGGCATTAGACTTTTCAATACAAAAAGTCGATTAATCGAAAGTCGATTTACTTATCCCTAATCATAATTTGCCTAAACCTCATTCGTAAACAACACGGTTTCCATTTAGTCTCTATCCCACCTCATTCGTAAACTTTCGGTTATACCATTTTGAGTTCATCTTTATCGGCCATTTTGTCTTCTCCTCCCATTCGTTAGCAGGTGGAACGTTTTTCAATTTTTTCAGTCGTCGTTTTTAATTTAGCTCCGTTCCAAAATCTAAAAGAATCTACTAATTTTACAAGTTTTGAAACTTTTTACTCGAAAACCGTTCCTGAACCCATAAAACTGGTAAAGTATTGAATCAAATTTAAGAGAGCACAAAACAAAATGGCTTTCTCTTTGTAAACTTTTTGTTATGTTGATTTTGAAGTATTGCCATCTAATTTTGGCATATTTACTAGATTTGCGTTCCCGAACTTTTCAAATTATTTTGTACTCTGAGACTTGAAATGTTTCCCTTTTACTAGCTTTACTATTAAACAAGTGAAAAAGCGTTAAGTTCGGTCGGGCCGAACTTTGGATATCCTCCACCACAGGTATACTGACAGGTATTTGAAATGAAAAAGTGGACCGATATTTATAATTTTAAATAGAGATATTTGGTACCCAATATGAACCCACTGTACCAAATTTCAGCGAATTCGGTTGAAAATCGCGCTTAAGAACCTCAAAATACCGAAATTTTGGGGTGCCCTTATATGGGGGCTACCAGAAAAAGTGGGCCGATATTTATAATTTTTAGTAGAGATATTTGGTACGCAATATGAACCCAATGTACAAAATTGCAGCGAATTCGGTTGAAAAGCGCGCTCAAGAACCCCAAAATACCGAAATTGGGGGGTACCCTTATATGGGGGATATCCGAAAAAATTGACCTATGTTCAAATTTTTTTGTGGAGAGATTTGGTACCTGCTAAGAACTCAAAATACTAAATTACAGCCAATTCGGTGAAAAATACGATAAAAACCCAAAAAAATACTGAAAATTAGGAGGTACCGTTATATGGGGGCTACAAGAAAAAGTGGACCTATATTTATAATTTTTTGTGGATACATTTACTACAAATTCGCATGAAAAACGCGCTCATGAACCCCAAAATACCGAAAATTGGGGGGTACCCTTATATGGGAGCTATGCCTAAACGTGGACCGTTTAGGCATAGCTGACCTGCCTGCAGACAAAAGACAACCCTATGCAAAATTTCAGCACCCTATCTCACTCAATTCCTTCAGAAGATAGCGTGATTACAACAGACGGACGGACATGGCTAGATCGTCTTAGAATTTTACCCTGATCAAGAATATATATACTTTATAGGGTCGGAAATGAATATTTCGATGAGTTACAAACGGAATGACAAAATTAATATACCCTCCATACTATGGTGGAGGGTATAAAAAGTACTGGAACAGACCATTTGTTGGCGAAGGTTTGCGTACGACGTCGCTTGAGTCTTGGCAGAACGACGATTAACAAGCGAATTTTATAAAGGCTGGAGTCTTGGAGGCTTCCCACTGTTTTTTTTTTTTTGAATCTCTCTCTCATTTATTATTTTTTTTCGTTTTTCCATATATAGTTCCTTTGATCCATATAGTACCTTTGCTCCATATAATTCCTTTAGTCCATACAATTTCTTTGCTCCATAAAGTTCCGACTCCTACATAGTTCTTTTGAATCTCTCTCTTTCATCATTCTTTTTTTCGTTTTTCCATATATAATTCCTTTGCTCCATATAGTTCCTTTGCTCTTTATAGTTCCTATGCTCCAAATAGTCCCTTTGCTCCATATAGTTCCTTTGCTCTTTATAGTTCCTTTGCTCCATACAGTTCCTTTGCTTCAAATAGTTCAAAAAAGGAACTGGATCAGAGAAAGGAATTATATTAATTAAAGAACTGGAACTAGTTCCGTTCGTTCCTTTCTCGAAATAGTTCCAATGAACTACTGTTGGACAGTTGGACAATTTAGCAACACGAGAGGTATCAATTATATTTTTTAATAATATTCTCAATATTTTAATAAAAAGACGGACTTTTCAGCACTCCTAACAATTAATTAACAATATTTCGGAACTGGAACAGTGGAGGATTAGTATTTAGTGGGTAAAGTTCAATAGCTTTGGCACTCCAATTCTCAAACGTTTGCAATCGATTTATGCCGTCTGACAATTGAAGCAGCTCCGGTGAAGACAGCATTTTTATAAAAATTGGACCATATCACACTGAAATTTAGGACACAAAATGGATAATATACCAAGGACACATGAAGGTATGCCAGATTTAAGTATTTCATTGAATAGAAATGTAAAATATTTGTCTATTCCAATTCCAGACATTGAGGCACAAATTGCCGACATCCAATCGAAGAAAAAGGAGGTGGCAAAAAATGCCAGTGATGGTGTTAGCCTTTTGGCTGCAGGAAATTTCTATGATACGGAATTCTATGACGAGGGGGGTAAGAGTAAAAATCGTTATGAAGGCTATAACACCTCAATTGCGGCCAATGATGATGTCGATGAGGACGAAGATGAAGGTTTGCCGGTGCAACAAAAACGTGTGGCCTATACGGCACCCAAATCGGTGATGAAAGATATTATGCAGGTATGTACCTCTGGCTCTTTAGTAAATCCGTTGATATTCAACAAATCGTGTGCTTTACAGAGTACCGAAGATGTGGACCCTTTGGCGGATCGCCGACGACCCACAATTGCCGATCGTGAGGATGAATATAAACAAAAGCGTCGACGCATTATTATCTCTCCCGAGCGAGCTGATCCCTTTGCGGATGGTGGTAAAACACCTGATGTAGGTTCGCGAACCTATACCGACATTATGAAGGAACAAATGCTAAAGGGTGAAGAAAGTGAATTGCGTAGGAAGATTATGGAAAAATCGAAGGATGGTACATTGCTAAAGACTGTGCCAGATCCACCCAAGGAGGGTGGGCGTAAACGTGGTCGTTGGGATCAGACAGTGAGTGATAGTTTTGTGCCAGCCAAGGTGGCGGCTACACCAAGCAGTGCTGCCACGCCCACATGGGAGGAGGTAAGCAGAGGAACATTTTTATGTAACCCAGAATTCCGTATTAATAATTTTATTTTACAGAAAACTCCCGCCGATCATCGTTGGGATGAGACACCAGCCCACAAAACCGGCAGTGAAACTCCTGGAGCCACTCCCGGCTTGGGTACACGTATGTGGGATGCCACCCCAGCCCATAGCATGACACCGGGTCATGAAACACCCGGTCATGAAAAATCTGTACGACGTAATCGTTGGGATGAAACTCCCAAAACGGAGAGGGAAACTCCCGGCCATAGTGGTTGGGCTGAGACACCAAAACCCGATCGCGGCATAAGTGATAATGTGGTAGTTGAATCTACTCCCGGAGCCTCTAAACGCAGATCTCGCTGGGATGAAACACCTTCAAATGCCACACCAACAGCCATGACACCAAGCATGACTCCCAGTATGACACCACATGCAACGCCTGGACATGCCACACCATTACTCACACCCGGTGGTTCAACACCCATTGGTGTTAAGGCAATGGCTATGCAGACACCCACCCCGGGAGCCCTTGCTGCCATGACTCCAGAGCAATTGCAAGCCTATCGCTGGGAAAAGGAAATCGATGAACGTAATAGACCATTCACCGATGAAGAATTGGATCAAATGTTCCCACCTGGCTATAAGATTCTGCCACCACCAGCCGGTTATGTACCCTTACGTACACCGGGACGTAAATTAATGGCCACACCCACACCTATTGCTGGTACTCCGGCTGGATTCTTTATCCAAGTGGAAGATAAAAATGCCAAATTTATGGATAATCAACCAAAGGGACAAAATCTACCATTTATGAAACCTGAGGATGCTCAATATTTCGATAAACTGCTGGTAGATGTTGATGAGGATACCCTGTCGCCTGAGGAAGTTAAGGAAAGGAAAATCATGAAGCTGTTGTTGACCATTAAAAATGGTTCACCACCCATGCGTAAATCGGCTTTGAGACAAATTACCGATAAGGCACGAGAATTTGGTGCTGGTCCTTTGTTTAATCAAATTCTACCCTTGCTTATGTCACCCACCTTGGAGGATCAGGAGCGGCATTTATTGGTGAAAGTTATTGATCGAGTTTTGTACAAACTCGATGACTTGGTGCGTCCTTATGTCCACAAAATTTTGGTCGTCATTGAACCCTTGCTGATCGATGAAGATTACTATGCCCGTGTTGAGGGTCGTGAAATTATTTCCAATCTTGCCAAGGCTGCCGGTTTGGCTACTATGATTTCCACTATGCGTCCCGATATTGATAACATAGATGAGTATGTACGTAACACCACAGCAAGAGCCTTTGCTGTTGTTGCCTCGGCGTTGGGTATACCTTCGTTGTTGCCTTTCTTAAAGGCCGTATGTAAATCGAAGAAATCATGGCAGGCTCGTCACACGGGTATTAAAATTGTCCAACAAATTGCCATTCTAATGGGTTGCGCCATCTTGCCTCACCTAAAGGCTTTGGTGGAAATTATTGAACACGGCTTGGTGGATGAACAGCAGAAGGTGCGTACCATCACAGCCTTGGCCATTGCTGCTTTGGCCGAGGCAGCCACCCCATATGGTATTGAATCTTTCGATTCTGTACTCAAACCCTTGTGGAAGGGTATTCGTACCCATCGTGGTAAAGGTTTGGCTGCTTTCCTTAAGGCCATTGGTTATCTTATTCCCCTTATGGATGCCGAATATGCCAATTATTATACTCGTGAAGTGATGTTGATTTTGATTCGTGAATTTCAATCGCCCGATGAGGAAATGAAAAAGATTGTCTTGAAGGTAGTGAAGCAGTGTTGTGCCACAGATGGTGTGGAGGCCCAGTATATCAAGGAAGAAATTCTGCCACATTTCTTTAAATTCTTTTGGAATCATCGTATGGCCTTGGATCGTCGTAACTACCGGCAATTGGTCGATACCACTGTGGAGATTGCCAATAAAGTTGGCGCCTCGGAGATCATCAATCGCATTGTCGACGATTTGAAGGATGAAAATGAACAGTATAGGAAAATGGTAATGGAAACAATTGAGAAAATCATGGGCAACTTGGGGGCAGCTGATATCGATTCGAGATTGGAAGAACAATTAATTGATGGTATTCTCTATGCCTTCCAAGAACAAACAACCGAAGATGTGGTTATGTTAAATGGTTTTGGTACCATTGTCAATCAATTGGGTAAGCGGGTGAAACCCTATTTGCCACAAATTTGTGGTACCATCCTGTGGCGCTTGAACAACAAATCGGCCAAGGTACGTCAACAGGCTGCAGATTTAATTTCCCGTATTGCAGTGGTGATGAAGACATGTCAAGAGGAGAAGCTGATGGGTCATTTGGGTGTGGTACTCTATGAATATCTCGGTGAAGAATATCCCGAGGTTTTGGGTAGTATCTTGGGTGCTTTGAAGGCTATCGTCAATGTGATTGGTATGACCAAAATGACACCACCCATTAAAGATCTATTGCCTCGCCTAACACCCATTCTTAAAAATCGTCATGAAAAGGTGCAGGAAAATTGTATTGACTTAGTTGGTCGTATTGCTGATCGTGGCCCCGAATATGTTTCGGCTCGAGAATGGATGCGTATTTGTTTTGAACTGTTGGAATTGTTGAAAGCCCACAAGAAGGCCATTCGTCGTGCCACTGTCAATACGTTCGGTTACATTGCCAAGGCAATTGGTCCTCATGATGTCTTGGCCACACTGTTGAATAACCTCAAAGTACAGGAACGACAAAATCGTGTCTGTACCACTGTGGCCATTGCCATTGTTGCTGAAACTTGTCGTCCCTTCACGGTGCTGCCTGCCCTAATGAATGAATATCGTGTTCCCGAATTGAATGTTCAAAATGGTGTCCTCAAATCACTCTCCTTCCTCTTTGAATACATCGGTGAAATGGGTAAAGATTACATTTATGCTGTATGCCCCCTGCTGGAAGATGCTCTTATGGATCGTGATTTGGTACATCGTCAGACAGCGTGTGCGGCCATTAAACACATGTCATTGGGTGTTTATGGTTTTGGCTGTGAAGATGCATTAGTCCATCTGCTCAACTATGTTTGGCCTAACATTTTTGAAACATCGCCACATTTGGTTCAGGCCTTTATGGATGCTGTTGAGGGTTTGCGTGTCTCATTGGGTCCTATTAAAATTTTACAATATACTCTGCAGGGTCTATTCCATCCGGCCCGCAAGGTGCGAGATGTCTATTGGAAAATCTACAATTCCCTATACATTGGTGGACAAGATGCTCTTATCGCTGGTTATCCTCGTATCACAAATGACCCCAAGAATCAATATGAACGTTACGAATTAGATTATACGCTATAAAATGATAATGAAAGCTTTTCTTGTTTTTAATTTCTTTAGATATTAGTATTAATCAAAAATCTTAAAATTTTCGCGTATCCTTTGCATAAGAATTTTAAATACATTTAGAATATTCATGAATATTGGGACATATACACAAATACAGATATAAATATGATAGAAGAAAGATTTTGTCATTTGAAAATGGGATGGTGTGAAAAAAATATATGGGAGGAAACCATGCAAGTTATTTTAATTTGGTCGACTTAAATCAATAAAATTTCGTGGATATCAATCGCTCGATAAATAAATGAAATTATGGTAGTAAAGTATTGTTAAACTGATGGTCCTGAGGTAATATATTAAGAAAGAGATTTTACCACATTTCTTTAAATTCTTTTGGAATCATCGTCTTCTGGAATCAACAATATCATAAAATGATATGATATGAATGATCGATTCATATTTAGGGGATGAAATGGTCTCAAAGCTTAATTTTTGTCTGTTTTTCTGTTAGCTCTAGAGACTACAATTATGATCAAAACATTAATTTTACTCGGAGAAGGGTGTCTGATCAAGGAACTGACATTTCCCTTTTCATGATAATCGATCAATATTTATCGTGTCAAATTTGCCCAAATTTTTTGTGAAAAGGAGCAAATAATTCATTCTGAGGATTAGAGCAGATAAGTTAACAGTATATCCCAGAGTAGAGATATACTCAACATAGAGGACGGAAAACCCGGTTATGGGGTGTTCGATTGTGTGTTTTTCAAGTCGCTCTAGAGATAACAATTATAAGTCGAACATCACACGGCGCAGAAGCGAATAAAACCACGAGGATTCCGATATCGCGAAATGTTGCGCAGACTCGGAACATATCCACAAAAAGTTGAAGTTACGTGGTAGTTGTGTATTATATGGTCGGCCCGTCCGGTTATACTTCTCCCTCACTCGTTTATAAATATATTTTGCAAGGCGTTCATTTTTGCTTTTCTAAAAAAATATTTTATCCGAGTCATGAAATGCTTAAAAATATTTTTTACAATTTAATTAATTTGGTACTTAATAAAAATATTTTTTGCAAGGCCTTAATTTTGAATTTACAAAAAATATTTTCCCAACTTTCCCAACTGCTTTTCTAAAAAAATATTTTATCCAAGTCATGAAATGCTTAAAAATATTTTTTACAATTTAATTAATTTGGTACTTAATAAAAATATTTTTTGCAAGGCCTTAATTTTGTTTTCCAAGGCTTAAAAAAACAAGGGGTTTAAAAAAACAATTTTTCAATTTTTTTAACTCGTTTTTCCAGGGCGTGGGGATCTTTAAGAATAAATATTTTAATAGTGTTGGCGGGTTATTTGGGATACCATTTGTATTTTGTTTTTGCAAAATAGTCAGGCTGAATCCCAGTTTGTTGTTTTTAAAAAACAACTTTAGGTGTGGGATTTGGTTTACACATATTATTTACAAAATTTTTAACTATTTTCCACAGGGATTATATATCTGAATAAACAATTTAAAAATAAGAATTAAAAAAAAATAATAATAAAATTTCCCATTGAAACGTTATTTATGTGAGAGCAACAATTTATATCTTAATTAGACAACGAGATTATGTAAATCATTTATTTATATTTCCGCACTAAAGTGACAAATAAGCGCTACCTGTTTTTTGAGAGGAACATCTGGAGTTTTTGCATTTTTCAATCAAAAAACCTGCCTGTGAATTAATCATTTAAAGGGGAAGTTACGCCCTCCACCAGTTCACTTGACGTTTATTCAAGTTTAATTATTGCAGTATACATATAAGCGCACTCATATATACATACTTATTACTAAAACGCAGTTTTGCATTAAAAAGTGTGTTTTTAACACTTGCAGGTGTTGTGCAAAGTAAACTTGTTATTAAAATACTGCATTAATATTGATTTTGAAATTAGTTAATATGGATTAGGCTCACACAAATATGTATGACGTTTATATTTTTACGTGTGAATCTAATCCATTTTTTCTCTTTTAATGGAGAAGTTCGGTTAGGTCGAATCATTTATGCCTTTGATACAACTTTGTTGTGTTCGTCAAATTACAAGCAATTTTGTTGATCAGCAATAAATTGTTGCGATTTTTTGTTGTTAACTAGTTACAGAATATCACTAAAGATTCAGAGATTTTCTGGGATATCAAAATCTACTAAAACAATAAAATCTTTGGGATAATGTTATATTTCAATATAAGAGTTTTTTTTATAATATTACTAAAAAATTCGCAGCTGGAGTCAATTAATTTTTGTAGAGAACGAAATCTTTTTAGCCTGAAGAACCTATACATCTTCAGGCTAAAAATATTTGGTTCTCTACAAAAATGTAATGGATTCTAGCTGCAAATTGTTTTATCATTTTATAATTTATACGCCTATTTAGTAAGCCCTATATAAAGATAATACTCAATATTCGTTATTTGTCAGTAAGAGTTATTTTTTTAAGAAAAATTGTCACCACACGACTTTTATGACTACTCGATCGAGTTTTTAGTAATGTCCCTACCGTTTTTACTGGTATTTGTAGTTTCCGATTAATAAATATGTCCTAATTAATCTTTCATTCTCGAATAGAGTGACAGAATATGGGACCAAACGGTTCACAATATTTATTTAAAAAATATAATACTTACATTAGTTTTATAGTAAAATTAAAGAAAATAAAAAAGGGCTCATTTTATCAAAAACAGCGCGTAACATTTTTGAGATCAATCTGGCAACTCAACCACCATATGATCAAAATAAAAATAGAATCTATACAAAAATCTACTTTTAAGATTTCCAATAGTCCTTTTAATAATGTTTCTTGCAGATGTGTGCCCTTTATTATATCGATGTTGACAAGATCCATGCTCCACTTGTTTATAGGGCGTCATCAAAAATGTTTCTAAAGCGTAACCACTGTCTCCTAGAAGCCAACTATTTTGCATACCATTTCCTCTTCTACCTACCTGCACTCATATGACAAATAAAAGCATCATGGCTGGATCCTGGTCTGCAGCTGTCCACAGCTTGCACACACTTTGTCAGCTTGCAGCTTGCACACACTTTTGTCTTCCAGGATTTTCATTACTCTCCACAATATTTTACACATTGTTCTGCGATCAACACCTATGTTTAAATCATTTGCCACTACCCTCTGAAACCCACCAACAGCTAGAAATCTTAAGGTAGCTGCTAACTGCAGGCTTTCGGGAATGGTACCCTTGTGTATGAAAGGACCAACTTCTCTCAAAATATCCATAAATGCTTATTTTAACACGTTCCAGTATCATTAGACTTTTTCTGGTAGAAACCAGAACAATTAATAAGCCAGCAGCCATATTTTTTTCTTAATTTTGTTGTTAAACAAATTGCAAATTCCAATGAAACATATTTTTTATTGAACACATTTCGTAACATATTGAACACAGCTATGTTTTCGAGCCGCACTTTCGCTCGAAATTGAGCGCACCATTTTGCACAACATGGGGATTTAAAAAAGTATGGGAATTCAAAAACTCTCGGAACATGTCACATGGGCGAATAGCATGAGAGCAGATCATTGCACAACCTAATATTTTAAACATTCCTGTATCTTCTTGGGAGATGGAACTTATCACTCCAATCCTTCTAGTACCTCCCCCACCAAGGCTCAACATTTTGAAACTTTGTGAATCTTATATGAAACGAATGGAATTTTCAAATTTTTCCCAAACTTTCGCCATCGTAATATTTTTACGTAGCCTAAATCGCTCCACTCCTTCTGGGTACCTCACCCACAATTGGTTAACATATTGAAAATTGTTAATCCATAACTTATAGTGCGAAATGTCCGATTTGATGACAAATATGCAATCCGGTCTATTCACTCCTTCTGGTACCTTCCACACAAAATGCTGAATATTAATTTTATAATAACATGCAGACGGAACTAACATTTGAACAACCTGATATTTAAAGCATGTCTGTATAATCTTGAAAGATGGGACCTATTGGTCCACTTCTCTCCCTTTAAAATGTTCGAAATCTCGTAAATCCCATATGAATCGATGGAAACATCCAATTGCATTCAAACTTTGCACATTGTAATATATTTACAATACAGTATAAACTTGATAATCCGGACCTCGACAATCCGGATTATTCGGTAATCCGGACTGCATTTCACAACCCATTGCGTATCCTATAATCCGGATTGATTGACCTATTTTACTCAAAAATCCGGATTGTAAAGATACGTTACTTTTTATTTTAATAAAAAGATCGTTGCAAATTTAATTGAAAATGGTACCTATTATATTCAAAGTTCATATTTTTGAAATGAATAATTTTCATTTTTAATAAAAACATAAAAATACTTCAATTATCACCAAATTAATATAAATTTAAACCAATTAATAAAACTCGATAATCCGGAAATCTCGGTAATCCGGATTGGGGTCTGCAATCAATTATCCGGATTACCGAGTTTTTACTGTACATATATCAAGCTTGAATATGGGACTCGTTGGTCCTCGTTGGTTGGACCTCCCGCATAAAGTGTCAATATTTCCAATTTTTGTTCATATTATTCTTGAAAGAATTTAAAAACACAATCCAACCTAATTTTAAATATTGGTCACGTTTTGACATTGCATCCATAAACTGCATGTTAAAGATCGATTTTCTTGTAAATAAAAATTCTTGTTAACTGAGTCTCAATCAATGCTGTTGTCCTTGGTAAGCGGTAGTTGCTATCAACTAACAAACAAAGTTCTTCCTAAAATTTTAAACCATTGCCTCTTCCATTACTTTTTTATTCCTTTTAAACCCTTGCCTCCTCAATTATTTTGTTATTCCTTTCCATTTTCGTGGATGATAATTGTGAGGAAAATATTTCCACAAAAGAAATATATTTGAGGCTTATAGCAACAAACTTACTAGCCGTAATTTCCCTGTGTAGATTCCCACAATTGGCATTTTAATTTTGAGCCGGCTCGAAGGAGCACACAAAGAATAATGACCCTATTGACTGTCATTCATATTTTCTAGGTGTTAATAAATAAGACAATAATCTATTTTAAAAACCAATATCTATGTGCCCTCTCTATAGGAAATATAAACAATTTGTTTTTATCACTTTGTTACCTAAGATTTGAAATGATTAACTTAGTAAACAGGTACCACAGCGCAATGAGGCCTAGGAAAAAAAATGTAGAACATGTATTATTTTTAAATCAATGTTGTCGTATAAATTTAGCATTAATTTTCAATTTGTAATTCAATTGCATTTCGATACAAAACAACAGTATGACTCATTATTGTTATGGATTATAATCTTCTAAGAGGCAGACAGGTATTTCAATGAAAGATAATGATAAGATAGTTATTTATATCTTTGTTGTATACGTTACTATTAAAAGTTTGTATAGTTGTTTAATTTGTTCCAATTTCAAGGTTAATATTTACAATTATTAGCCGCCTCTAACCTACAATGTTGTTGTACAGTCAAACGGCGATAAGAGGAATTGTCATTGGGTCGAAAAGCACATATGGTGACAGTGGCACTTTTTTCTGTTTATACCGCACTTTTTGTGCTAGGCTTAGAATTTTCCGAACTGCCCTCGTGAGTACCCAAAGTGATGAAGGATATCATATAGTCGGACCCGTCCGACTTTTGAACTTTCCTTACTGGTTTTCGGATAATGTTGGTTCGAGTTATAGAAGTCCGACTGTAGTAGAAGAATTTGAATTGAATTTGTTTAAACAAATTTAATTACATATCTGTTTATTTATTGTTTTCGAGTTCCACAATGACAACAGAAATTACTGATATGGGGCAATGTTTTATTAGAAGAAATGTAGATAAGCTTTTTGTATTTGTGAAAGGTATATAAACGATATTTGGAAAATGTGGGTTACTACCTGTCGCTGGGGACTATGAAAAAATGGGTTAAAATATAAAAAAAAATTAATATGAGTTTTTTTGAGAATGAGTTCTTGCAGTACGGGAACAGATCATTAATATGAGTTTCTTTGAGAATGAATTTATATGTTATTAGAGGATACTTACATTGTTGACTAAATGGGAATCTCGGCATTCCGACTTGTGGGCCTTAATCTCTTTAAAAAGTTTTGTTTTGCCTGTCAACAAAATTGTTTTTAGATAAAAGAATTCTTTTTTGCATTTAATTTCTTATGTATTGTTTTATTTTTATATTTTTATTATTTAACTTTTAATTTGTTTTTTGTTGTATTGTTTTCTCTCTCTTCCTTATCGTGGATAGTTTGTGACATAAAATATTTATAAATATATTTATATATAGTATAGTATATAATATAATACGTTTATGAAAAAAGGGTTCAATGTACTTTGGGTTAATAGTAGTACTACCAGCCAGCGGCAAGGCATATGATAACTGTTTTGGTTTTTTTCTTTCTTTGTTGTTTTTGTCATTTTAATGCACTGAAGAATAATGAATGAGTCTAGCACGCTTTACGACGAATGTGAAGACGTTGATGGCAGCGGCTACGGCAACGGTGGTGGTAGTCGGAGTGGGGGCAGGGATATAGTGGGGCACCACTACAACTAACCCCCCTCTTCTTTTACATCATATTTTTTGTATCACTAAAATTTGTGTTCTCGGAAGGGGGCGGATATGGACACACACATCCTATACATATATATGTAACTACATAATCAAAAATTGGTGTCTCCAAAAATTGCATTTTTTTTTTGGCTTAAAATATAAATTTGTGTGTTATGCACTTTTGCTTATTGTTGTAGTTTGTTGTTGTTTTTGTCATATTATCGCTGCAACATATCCTCTAGTATGGCAATAAGACTCTCCAACCCAAATAGATAATTCATATCCAATGAATTATTTGTCGCCGGAAATACATGTGCGAAATCAATCATTTTAACCTTAACATAACGTTCCAGACATGTGCAGCAGCACTGGTTATTAACCTCTTTAGTTGCGAGACGTGGAGGAGCTGAGGGGTGGTAACCATCTACATCGTCATCATCATTATCGTAATTATCGGCAACTTCACAAATATGCAAGCTGTTACCATTCGGTATGTGGTGGTGGTGGCCGTCATGTTGCTGTTGGTGGTTTTGGAGTTGTTGTTGCTGCTGTTTTGATTTTTGGCATGCTGTACATTTTTCACGCTGTTGCAGCTGCTGTCCATTAGTCGTAGTCGTACCGGTTGTGGTCTGCAGTCTTTTTTGTAAAGCCACAAAATCATAGGCGATAAGCAGAGAGCTGGCATAGAAATGGAAATATTTTTGTTCCCGAAACCATTCTCGGATATCATACAACTGCCTGAGCAATTCTTCGATTAGCGCCTCGCACACCCTTTCCTGGGCATTTAGGAACATTCGCAAGGCTGCACGCAAACCATCGGCATCTAATTTTTTACCATAATCACGATCATACTTCTGATAACCCTCCGCCGTGTAAACCTGGAAACCGGGTAAACATATGCCCAACACCTGTTTACAACGGGCATATTTTTCCTCCTCCACTTTACATTTGTGCGGCGAAGCCAATGGATCCCATGTCCGCTTACCCACTTTAATATCCATAATACATGGCCGCTGCATGCCATGTGTTAAATCTTCCAATTGGAAAAATGTGTGCTCCTTACCATTCACCTCCAGTCTTATTTTCTTATAAAATTTTGGTATGAAATTTTGCAATTGCTTTAGAAGAGGGTCATTGGTCTGCTGTAGATTTTCATAGAAACTTAACTCCCTGGCCCCACACTCCGGTTTGCCGAATGGCTTTAATACACATCCGATAGTTTCATCCTTAAGCATACCCAAAGCGGCTGTGTTGTTGGTGAACAAATGGCCCGCCACTTGTGTTTCCAGCACACAAATACCCTTAGGCAACTGTGGTTGATTTTGGTTCATTGTCAGTTCGGTGCGATTTTCTTTCCTTTCTTGGGCTTTACCTCCACTAACCAATACCACACTGATGAACTTAATCGAGTTAGTTTATTTTATTCCGTTAAACTGCAATGATTCACACAAAGCACCATGCGCTGATTTGTATTTATTTTTTTCCTTTACTTCTTTCCTGTATTAGCGGGCGACTAATGCAAAATAAATCGATAAGTGTTTGGTGTGTGTGATTTGTGAGAAAATCGATAAATGCAATATCTTGGCGATAACACGACAAAGCCAACGGAAATTGTTGCTGCAAACTGTCAACAGCTGCGAAATAGTTAGTCGAGTACGTAACGTATGAGTAACGTAGTAAGGAAAAAGGTTGAAATAAGTGGGTTGGCAACGCGTTCTTGTAAGACAAGGGGAATCTGAAACGATGAACAGAAAAATGATTAAGAAATGGAGTAAAGAAATCGTTATAATACGAAATATTGTTTAATTTTCTAATACACCCAAAGATCTATATAAAATTAAATAAATACGGACTTAAACTTCGTTTATATATTGGTATATTCCCGTACCCAAAAACAAGTAAAACTGGTCAAATTTGTAATGAATGTGGTTAGGATACAGAATGCGCTGCTATCAAAATGGCAGTCGATCCATTACGGTCATCCTAAAAATTGTTATAGACTAGCGAAGCCGTAAGAAGAATTGAGTATGGCGACAGAAAAGGGTAGTAAGCGTGTTACAATAATACAAGGTAGGGTTGCTTGAGATGAATAACAAAAAACGCAACTATGTACGTAGTGGCTTTTAACGTCAAATACGAAATATACGCAATAGATTGTTATACGAAGTAAAAACGTCCAGAAGAATGCGGTAACAAATATTTTCATTTCAATTAAATTTTATTTGTTTTGACATGGCGACTGGTCGCACAACTTCATAGCCAGCTGTTGTCTGCAGCACTTGTGACAGAGGTAGTTATTGTACTAGCTCTTTCGCCAGTTCTGCTGCTAGCAACCAGTTCCCATGATTCCGGTACTACGGCTACCACCCCGTCTAGTTCTCCAGTAGTACTACTACTACTGTTTATGCTATTAATCAAGTTAGTTATTGCACTAACTTCTCTTCCTATTCTAACGCTACCACTCCGACTGGCACTTCTTCCAGTCCTATACTTCCAACGTCGAGTGCTCAAAACTTCCCATCCAGACAACAGCGTTAAAGGCAGGTTTTCGTTTTTGCCGAATAAGTCTATACGCCTGCATCCACAAGGGCATCCACAACAGCAGTCCATGCATGAGGGTACCTCATTTCTAATCATGCAATTTAATTTTAATGGTCTTAGGAATAAGGTCATTTAGATCTCAAACTTCATGCATGAAAACGCCATCCTCATTCGGTGTTAAGAGATGAGATGTTGAAACCCAAGCTTCTTCTTCGATTGTAGTTTCAACTCTAATTTATTTATGAAATATTCTGACTTAAGTACTACATAAACTAATCTAACTTAGCATATCTTAAACACATAACAACTATCAGTTCTCACAGTGCACATGGGGGTTGCGTTCATTTGATTACATCAGATGAGCGCACCAATATCTTTGTGTGTGGACTTGTATTGATTCTTTATTATCAGCGCACACCCACAGATCTTGTGACTGCATTGGCCACTTATCATAAAACCACTTGAACATCATTTATTAAATGCATAAATGTAAAGTGATCATAAAATAAAATGAAGCCGAGCATGTTAATATTTTTATGAACATTCGTCGTACCAGAGACCATGGTAGGGGTCTCGCATTCATCATTCAGCGAGATGTCAGATATAACCTGACTTTCCCTTCGTCTCCTTTCCTGGAGGTTTTGAGCATTTCAGTTCATTCCGGCGATTTGGAAATTGAAATTGTCAACGTATTTATTCCCCCCGTCAACAGCATTGGGGCTAGTTATCATCCATATGTTGCAGGGACATAATAAAATTGTACTTGGCGATTTCAACGGTTTTTTCCCAACTTCCAAATGATCCTTGCGACATTCTTATTGCAAACCAGATAGACGAGTCCGATTTCGCTTCCATCAATGAAGAATACTCTACAACATTCACTGTCAAGAAATTTGGTATAGTCAGTCCATATACTTCCTGGCAAACAAAGTTTGCATTAAATTCAGACCAAATTCCCACCCGGTCACGGTATGGGAGAAATCCAGCGATTTCGTGGAGCTCGATCATCGTACTTTCATGAATTATCACAAAATGCATTAAAGACTCCTTAAGTCCTATGCCTCTACCAGTATGTGCCATTAAGGGTGAGAAGATATTCCGTGAAACTATTCTAAAAACGGCAAAAGTCTTCATTCGCGCGGGCAGGTTCCTCATTCCTCTAATGAAAACAAACGTTTGTGCCGAAAGCCCCGACTGAATCCCGCAGCTAAGCGATGAAATAGATAATCTAGTCAAGGAGCATATCATTAATGATCAGAACGCCTTAACCACTGCAATATAAATTCCAAGCTGCTATGGTCTACTATCAAGGGCCTATCTGGTTCCAAAAGAAATTAAAATTCAACCTTCTGATGTCGGAAAATGTGCATTGCAGTTCTGCCGCCAATTAATTGAGCATCCACCTTCGCAGAACAGGATCAACCGATCAGCTATCCGTAGATCCAAGAATTTTAAAAGAGACTTGTAGCCCATATCATTTGCATCCAACGAGGTAGAGAAAATTATCTCCTAATCGAAATCATACAAAGCCCTTGATCCAGACGGCATATCCATGTTCATGTGAAATAAGCTTGGTGCAATAGAGCTGGGTTATCTAACTAAAGTTCTCGAGTTATCTATGTCACAGTTGGTAATTCCTGATATTTGGAAAATTGACCGGATTATTCCAATAATAAAACCAGATAAATCCGCTAATAATGAGAAATCCTACTGCCCGATTTTTCTTCTTTCACCAGTAGCCAAGGTTTTTGACTCTCTATTTCTTCCGACCATGGAACAGTAATTCGTTCTTGCTATCCACCAACATGGTTTCAGGGAAACATATAGCACAACAACGGCTTTGTAAGACATGACTTCCAAGATTTCGAATGACCTCAATCAGCCACGACCACCTGAATAGGCCATTGTGGCCGCCTTTGATCTGTCCAAGACATTTGATCTCTTCGAGCTGATATCCGACATCACAAATTCCGCCCTTACGAGTTATAATAAGCGTTGGCTTGCCAACTACCTTCTTGGACGCCAAGGCTTCGTCGATTTCCGTGGCCAAAATTCCAAATGTCGCAAGACCATTGACGATATAAGTGCAAAAATTTCTAACTATCTTTCGGGAGCGCATACTGCCACCATCACCAACTTCTTTCGGGAGCGCAATCTAAATTTATACTGTGTCTTTTTTCACTTCCTGGACGCGAGAAGTCTATTTAGTACCTGACATTTGCACTGAATATAGGCGCATACCCACCGCCATAATCCGAAAATCCTTGGGGTGGTCTTCATTTCTTCTCGCATTGTAACTACATCAATCAGAAGGTGAAAGCTAGGAATAGAGTTCTGCAAGCTTTATCTTTTTTTTGCTTCCTGAACGCGAAAAGTCCATTTAGAACTTGACATTTCCACTGAAGGTAGGAGCATTCCCACCGTCCATAATCCAAAGTCTTTGGGGTTGTCTTCTATAACCTCGATCATTTCTTCTCGCATTCTAACTACATCAACTAGAACGAGAAAGCTAGGAATAAATTTCTGAAAGCTTTGTTTGGTACCTCCTGGGAGAAGGATAAAGAAACGTTGGTCACGACATACAAGGCCATATGTCGTTCCATCATTAATTATGCTGCCTCAGTTTGGACTTCATTACTTACCGACACAAAATGGAGATCCTTGCAAATAACACAAAATAATGCACTCCAAATTGCAATTGCCAGTGTCCAGATGACGAGCGTCGATCATGAAGATAAGAGGATGCTCTCAGTCAAGCAACATAATGTGTTGTTGATTAGACAGTTCCTACTGGCATGTTATCTGCCGTGTCATCCCAGCCATCACACAGTCATATCAGATCCATCTCCGCGACACATCAGGACTTCAGGCGCTATCGAGACGTCATTCCATCGGACGTCAACAGATTGGCGATAGCGAACGCGATAAATTCCGTACATTAACAGGCGGTCTCCGAAGCCATAAATGCAATACATATGCAATAAATTCTTTCACCAACATCCTCCTGCAATTTCAGACAGTGATAGGCTTATTTCTAGGCAAACCCGTTCAATTCTGGCACAATTAAGGTGCGGGTACAGCAATGTTCTCAATTCGTATTGGGAACCGGAACCCTAAATAAGTGACCCTACTGTCAGCAAAGCCCTCACGACACACACCATCTATTATAATGTTCGTCCGAGCCTTCAAGTCCATTGCCTTCTGCATCGAATCGTGGAGCATTGACAAAATAGATGTTCATCGTTTCTGATCCTAATTTTTCGTCACATAGGCGGCAGAAATCCACTGCATTAATCTCCCATCTTAAAACAGGAGATCTGATTACGTTGTACGCTCCTTTTCGTTCTTTTTCCACGATAAACGGTGGTCTGGGGTGTTGGCGAGGTATTTGGCATCTAAAGGGAGTTTCAGCGTTACTTTATTTATATTATGTATAGATAACGATAGAATTTTGCGCTATTTTGTGAATAGTCGCAGGGTTGACCCCAAGATCATTTCCCCGCGACCACCCTGTTTTCTGGAAAACATCAATCCAATCCACCAGGGTAGAGGATATCACGTGTTAATGATAGCGATGTTGATAGATAAATTACGTTGTTGTGGTGGATATTTGTGGAGAGTTCCCTGAGGAAATCTGTCATGGCTAAGGGAGAAATCGAAATAAATTTTGTTTATTGGAAGATTCTTGCAGGTTGTGGAACAGAACAATTGTGTCATGACAACTTTCAATAAAGAAATTTAAATTTCCATCTCTGATAAATACAATTTCATTAATTTTTTATTTGTAAACAAAATTTCTTCTCCTCATCAAATTCCCCACCAGTTCAAATCGTATTTTTCATCAACAAATTCCGTAAATAATGCAAAAATTAAAAAATGAATGGGAAAAGGCCTGCCTACTCAAGCCAACCGATAACATTTTGTCGCATATTATGTTAAAGAATCCGCGTATCTTTCAACCATCCTATGAAGTTCAGGTGAGATTTATACATTCATTATTTTGATAATATATTAAATAAATCTGTCATCCCCCTCTTTCAGAACAGTCCCATTAATATGAATCTACTTTTGAGCATGGAATATGCCCGCATTTGGACGCAAGAGAAAAATGATTTCCTAAAAGATCGTGCCAAAAAGGCAAAACCAAAATTTATTAAAAATGACTATTGGAAATGGATAGAAAAACGCCAACCGAAAGTCTACAAAAGTTGTCCGGCGCAGGGTTTAAAGAATTTGCTGATTAAGGGGAAATCTTAGCAGAAAATGAAAGATGGGCGTGGTTACATTATTGTGATTATCTCACTTTTGTGGTGGATTACTTGTCACATTCTCAGTGGTGGGAATATGTCAAGTAAAACGCAATGAAAGAGTTAATCGGGTTAATGTGAACCTAGATACAGATAATAATACTTTGTTTCTTCGTAAGTGGATTGCAATGTTTTTCGATGTCCTAATATGGGAAATTATCATACAATGTCATATAAAATATTGTTGAGTATAGATCAACAATGCGTCTATTAACATCAGGAAAATGGCAAGATTTTTGCACCGAAGTCCTGGTCCACACTAAAGTAATTGCATGTAATGTGTTTCATAAAATTACTTTAGTGTGGATCAGGATGAAGAAAACAAATATTTTAAAATAAAAAGTTGATAATAATATAAGTTATTCATTAATAAAGATTATATTATCGAAGTCAATATCCTGAACAAATTTGTAGGAGGCAATCTTCTTTTCGAGTTTACCATTTATTACCTTTCGCACTCTCGTAGTACTTATTACCAAAACTAATTCAAAATTTTATGATTCGAGCTCTATAGGTTTACCCATTTCTTAATTTTGCCAAATGTAGTACCAATAGAAATCATATTTCCCAATTTCACGATTTCAACACGATCGATTCGCCCAAATATTATTGTACCAAATTTAGTACCATTTAGGACACATTAGTACGAATTTCGAAAACTTCATCCATACCCAAATCACACAGACCAACCATGATCTTAACTACAAATTTCAGGGGTCCAGCTCTATAGTTTCGACCATAGTACCAAATTTCGTACACATAAGTACGAGTTTACAAACCTACCTATATTATACAACCAATGGAAATCTTGGTTCACCCAAATCCAAATTTGGTTCCATTAAGTACACATTAGTACAAATTTCCAAAGATTTATACATATCCCAAAGCTACACCAACCCCCAATAATGATTCTAAGTCCATATTTCATGATTCTAGCTTAATCGGTTCACCCAAAATTCATATTGTACCAAATTCGGTACCATTTAGTACACATTAGTATGAATTTTCAAAATTTCCTACATACCCGAAACATTCACCCCAACAGTGATCCTTACTCCAAATATCAGGATTCCAGCTAAATACTTAGCCTTCTCACTTCTATTGTAGGTCAATAAAAACCTATCATAGGAAGCCTATAGTAAGGACTCCGCTCTATAGATGAACATTTGATATCAGCAGGAGATCTTTGGAAAGGACCGTCTGTTCACGTAGCGAACATGTGTAAACGAGAGAATATTTAGTTAAACAATTTAAAAAAATAAAATCCTGAGTCAGAAGGAGACTGCGTCAAGGAAGAAGGTGTTGACGGCGAGACAATTTGTCTGGGAAGCTTCTAGGCAATGGATCCCCTTGGATCCACAAGCTACGCTGACCTAAGATTTCTTCGCGTCTCTCCAATTGAAGACTGCCAATTTTATTTTTCAATTCTTTTTGGTGTTCATTTGTATTATCAACCAAGCTGAAATAATTCCCTCGACCTTTACTTAAATTCTTTAGCATCTATTTCTCCACGATCGGTCACTGATCCGGGTCGAAGGACCAATGATAAAGTAGGATCTATGTAGTTACACAGATACTGTCTATGAAAAACAGTATACACAGGAAGCAGACTCTCTCCCTAAACTCTCTCTGCTAAAGTTGAAAACCTTATATGCCAACTCCCTGAAACGATTCTAGCTGTTTTTTGGTTCACTCCGCAAAAGGAACTTTGTCATTCGTTTCGTTTCATAGTTCCTTTTAGTTCAATCGTCCATTAGCACAGTGATAGTGTCATTAATCTTCACAAATTTCCAGGATAAAAAGATGTCCGGGTGCAGGACCTGTAATCTCAACTGTTTTATATCTATTATCATAACCTAAAATATATGCCATTTTTTCTATTGCTTCTCATTTCAATATTTATTTAAAATTTTGCGTTTCAATGTTTATTCTTTACTTGCGAATTTGTGTATTATTTTGCGTTAACTTATCAACACCTTGGGCTCTGCAATAAAAATTATCTTTGGGTTTACGTTTCTCCAACCATTTCTTATAATCGTTTTTTATGTGCTTCGGTTTGTTGCGATCTTCACGTGCCTTATAGAATTCATCACGTTCTTTGGTCCATTGGCGGGAATATTCCCAGCCCAGCAACCAGCTCATCGATGGAGGACAGTCCTGAAAATAGATTTAAAAATACATAAAACTGTTAAAATTGTATGTTAAGAATTTAATCCAGCGGTCTTAGGGATTTGGAACTGCTGTGCCCACCACATAGTCGATTAATCTGTCACTTACATCCTTTTCAAAAGATGGCTTAAACTTAATCTTTTCATCGATAAATATATGCGATTTTAGATTATTGCGTGGTCGTTTTAGATATGCTTTCGACCATTCCGGTATAACATTAGCCATTATTTAAATGTGTTTTCTTATTTTCGGTTTCGTATTTATATTTTTAAAAGTATTTTTGTGATTAATTTACTGACAACTTCAAAAATTTTGTGAATTAAATTAGAGTTACCCCCAAAAATAAACCAATTTTTACAGAAATCATCATTTATTTGTCATATATACAACGGAAATTACGATTAAATTATTTCTCATAAAACATAGTCATAGTCAGTGTAAAAACGCCCTAACAGTCAACTGTCACACGATCTCCTCTGATTAACGCCGTCGTTGCATTTCGGCTATCAATGCAGTGTGAATGGAGCGGTAGTAAGAAGAAACACTAACAAACGTAAACAAAACGGTGATGGCACAACAAATATTCATAAACATTAAATTGCAAAAATTTCAGTTGTTAAATGTGAAATTATAAATCAATTTGTTGTGCATTTCGTGTCAGATAATGTTTTATTAAATAAGATAATGTTTTATTAATAAAAATTTTATAGAAAAATTACATAGAATATCGAAAATAATGTGAAGAAAGAATTTCGGCTACATGTAGAGGTTCGTACGTGTGTGTTGAGTTTGTGCATGATTTATTAAGCCAAAAACCTATTCAATTAAATGCAATGTTGGTTAAAATATGGTGAAATAAGGGGAAACATGTGGTGCATTACTGAAGCTAATATATTTATCGTCTTATTTATGTGAGGTAAGTAAGGCTTAAATGTTTTATTATAAATATACCACAATGGAATTTTCAACTACAGTATTTCCCAGATATATGCTCTGTGGGGATATAGGGTAAACGCACCTAATTCCGGCATGTACCAATAGTCGGCATCTGTTTTATATAAATTCAAATAACTACAAAATCCTATAACTAAATATGAAAAATACCTTGAATAATCTTCAATGACAAAAATTGGCATTTGGTCAATGAGGTTTGTCAACACTAGCGATTATTCATGTTTCTTAAGAAAAAAAAATAGTGGGCATGACGATTTCAAAAGACTTGTAACTTTATTAAAATTATATTTTTTCACAAGGATCTTCTTCATAATTGTAAAGAGCATAGAGGAAAATACTTTAGAATTTAAAATCATTAAAAAATATTTCTAATAATGATATTTTTATCGATGCCGACCTTAGGAACAAAAAAATTTTAAGGTTTTCCTATAGTCGGCATATGAATAATAAGCATCTTTTCGATCATTTTGGCTCAAATGGGAAAAAATGTTAAATAAGTCCTCTAAATAACGATTAAATTAAATAAAAATTAGTTTTGAGCGTTTTATATAATAGAAGACACGATTTTAATCTCAAATACTTTTAACCTCTGAAATGCCTTATTTAGCCATGCCGAGAATTGGATAGCAGGTTCCCAATGTCGGCACCATGTTTTATAATTCTAACATTTTAATAATATTATTTTATATAACTATTTCAATACAACACTGATGGAAACGTCCCATAGTAATAATTTATTATTGCAAATAGCAGAAAAATCAATTAAATACATAATTTTTGTTTAACTAAAATGTGACATGCCGACTATTGGTACATAATATGCCGACAATTGGAAAAATGTGCCGACTATTGGCACAAAGGCACTATTTTACATAATTATTAATTTAATCCACTTTAATACAAGATAATTAAACAAATTTGTATTCCATCGGGAAGTAAACAAAATTTTGAAACAGATGAGCCTAAATACAATATCGTGGAAAATATGCACTTGGAATGGTAAAACGTTTAAACGTTTCTTTAAAAAATCTACGGCTTGTGTAGGTCCCAGAAAAACATTCTTTAAAAAATCTACGCCTTGTGTAGGTCCCAGAAAATATTGTTTAAAAAATCTACGCCTTGTGTAGCTTCCAGAAAATATTGTTTAAAAAATCTACGCCTTGTGTAGGTCCCAGAAAATATTGTTTAAAAAATCTACGCCTTGTGTAGCTTCCAGAAAATATTGTTTAAAAAATCTACGCCTTGTGTAGGTCCCAGAAAAAAATTCTTTAGAAAATCTACGCCTTGTGTAGGTCCAAGAAAAAGATTCTTAAAAAATCTAAAAAAAAATCTAAAAAATTCTTTAAAGAATCTACGCCTTGTGTAGGTCCCAGAAAAAAAATTCTTTAAAAAATTTATGCCTTGTGTGGGTCCCAGAAAAAATTCTTTGATGAAAAAATTCTTTAAAGAATCTACGCCTTGTGTAGGTCCCAGAAAAAAAATTCTTTAAAAAATCTACGCCTTGTGTAGGTCCCAGAAAAAAAATTCTTTAAAAAACCTACGCCTTGTGTAGGTCCCAGAAAAAAATTCTTTAAAAAATCAACGCCTTGTGTAGCTTCCAGAAAATATTCTTTAAAAAATTTACGCCTTGTGTAGCTTTCAGAAAATATTCTTTAAAAAATCTACGCCTTGTGTAGCTTCCATAAAATATTACCTAAAAATTCTACGTTTTGTATAGTCCCAGAAAATATTGTTTAAAAAATCTACGCCTTGTGTAGCTTCCAGAAAATATTCTTTAAAAAATCTACGCCTTGTGTAGGTCCATGAAAATATTCTTTAAAAAATCTTCGCCTTGTGTAGGTCCATGAAAATATTCTTCAAAAAATCTACGCCTTGTGTAGGTCCTAGAAAATATTCTTTAAAAAATCTACGCCTTGTGTAGGTCCCAGAAAATATTGTTTAAAAAATCTACGCCTTGTGTAGCTTCCAGAAAATATTGTTTAAAAAATCTACGCCTTGTGTAGGTCCCAGAAAATATTGTTTAAAAAATCTACGCCTTGTGTAGCTTCCAGAAAATATTGTTTAAAAAATCTACGCCTTGTGTAGGTCCCAGAAAAAAATTCTTTAGAAAATCTACGCCTTGTGTAGGTCCAAGAAAAAGATTCTTAAAAAATATACGACTTGTGCAGGTCCTAGAAAATGTTCTTTAAAAAATCTACGACTTGCGCAGATCCTAGAAAATATTCTTTAAAAAATCTACGCCTTGTGTAGGTCCCAGCAAATATTGTTTAAAAAATCTACGCCTTGTGTAGGTCCCAGAAAATATTGTTTAAAAAATCTACGACTTGTGTAGGTCCCAGCAAATATTCTTTAAAAAAGGCCCCAGATAATATTCTTTAAAAAAGGCCCCAGAAAATATTCTTTAAAAAATCCACGCCTTTTTGGCTACATGAAAAAATATTCATTAAAAATCCACGCCTTTTTGGCTACATGAAAAAATATTCATTAAAAATCCACGCCTTTTTGGCTACATGAAAAAATATTCATTAAAAATCCACGCCTTTTTGGCTACATGAAAAAATATTCATTATTCAAAATCCACGCCTTTTTGGCCTTTTTGGCTACATGAAAAAATATTCATTAAAAATCCACGCCTTTTTGGCTACATGAAAAAGTATTCATTAAAAATCCACGCCTTTTTGGCTACATGAAAAAGTAATCATTAAAAATCCACGCCTTTTTGGCTACATGAAAAAATATTCATTAAAAATCCACGCCTTTTTGGCTACATGAAAAAATATTCATTAAAAATCCACGCCTTTTTGGCTACATGAAAAAATATTCATTAAAAATCCACGCCTTTTTGGCTACATGAAAAAATATTCATTAAAAATCCACGCCTTTTTGGCTACTTGAACAAAATATTCTTTAAAAGATCCACGCCTTTTTGGCTACTTGAAAAAAAAATATTCTTTAAAAATCCACGCCTTGTTTCTACTTGAAAAAAAATATTTTTTAACACATAATTTTCCTTTAAAAAAGCTTTGAATAATTTCTTAAAATCCCTTAATTCAATGTTTTTAAATATAAAAAGCTTTTTCATTTTCTTCACAACAAAATCCACCATTTACCCACATTCAATGGCAAATTTTCACCACTACACTTGTTTGATTAACTTCCTTTTTTTGTTTTGCATTTTAACCGAGAGAGAAAATTGCATAGCTAGTTTTATTTACTACCATAACAACATCTAACGTTTTTCCCCTGTCCCCTCTCTTGTATTCATGGCAAAAAAAGAAAACATTAACAGTAGTTGCTAGTTTAGCAATGCAATTGCATAACGGAATGCATAGAAAAAAACTTGTTTTGATTTAGTGCGCCAACCCCAATTTTCCAAAAAGAGTTAGAAATAACATAGAGGGAGAGAGAGAGTGTATGGGAGCTTCAATTTGAAGCACATGTTTGGATGAGAACAAAACACCCACTTGTCGATTGTTGTGAACAGTAAAAAAGGGGGAGTAAAACAACATTAGAAGAGGAAGAGAGTTATACGGTACTCTCTCTCTCAAATGTTATGCCGCCTTGAGTTGTTTACGTCAACAAATTGTTGCTTGTTGTATTTTGCCTGGCTCTAGCACAACATAACAGCAAATTAAAACTCAAGAATGGCGTGGGAATGCCAAAAAGGAATGTTGCAAAAAAACAAGAAGAATAACAAACAAACAATACGAATGCTAACGAACACACACACTCACACCCATTTAATTCCACGAAGAGAGATGACAAATTTAATACTGCATTTGCAATTGTCTATTTGCCCCCCACTCATAAAGGTAAGGTGTAAAGTGTGCTCAGCAGGCCAAACAGGCAGGCAGGCATGCATGTTTGTGTTTTTTGCATAATGGCGCGCAAAAGAGAATTCTCAGCCATGGATTAACCGTACACACGGCGGCTTTGGAAATGATACACATAGTCGTTGTTGTTGTTCTGTGTGTGTGTTTG